AATTGTCGAGCTTTCCTAGCTCAAGAAGTAGTGATTCATGGAGATGATTGAAACTCAAGTTGAGGGCTATCTGTAAATTTCTCATCTGACCAATCTCGGGTGCGATAGTTCCGGTCAAGTAGTTTTTCTCTCATTATAGCTCAAGAAGCTTCGAGCAGTTTTCTGTCTCCCGAGATATCTCCCCTCTAATCAAGTACTACTGTGGATCAAAATGACAATTCACATTACTTTCTATCAAAATTTTAACAGTTTTTACGATTTTTATTGAATCCAATTCAGATATTAAAATCAAGTAAAAAATAACCACACTTAAACTATTATATACACTCTATTTGAAATATACTATATATCTTTTATAGTTAAGTGCTATCATATATTTATACTAATCATATGACTCTTTCACTTGTCTTATTTTAATATAAATGATTGTATTTTTTTTTACAAACTTATTTTTGTTCGTTTTTATTTAAAAAAAATACAAACTAAAATTATACTATATCTGTGTGATACGTGTATTTTATCACAATAATATTAGTTCAACAACGACTATATAAAATTAAATATTTTTTTATTTAAATAAATATGAGTTAGGATTCAGTTAGGTGGACTACTTTATTTAGTTTTTGACTTGTATTTTATTCAATTTGTTTCTTAGTATTTTTATCATCGCAATCCAATCTAAACATTTTTTTCTGCAATGCAGACGTTGATTTATTTTTTCATACATTAAAAATCTATCGTAAATCATCCACATTAAAAATCATATGTTTGGTTTGAATCTATATAATTTCATTATACCGAATAATTTGTATACACTTCTTATATATATAAAAGTACAATGATTTATGAGGATCTGACATGTGTCTTTAGTTTTTTTTTCTAAAATTAAATTTTAATAATTGTAGTAATCATTCAAAAAAATGCATTCAAAACATTTCATAAATTAATTTATTATTCATTCACGAATAGATAAATGCATTAATCATTTTATTGCATTAAATATTATATTTATATAATTATTATAATTATTCTTTATATTGATTTTGGTAGAGAAAAAAATCAATAAAAGTTATAATAGGTTTAAGGAAATCATTTTTAAAAATAAAAATGGTCTTTTCTCATATACCTTTTGAATTCTTTTTTATTTCTTGGATATTTTTCTCTTCTATTAAAACAAATATACGTTTTCGCAAAATTGCTACAATTGATATAAGACTATAAGTATATCAATTTTTAAATTATGTATTCTACAAAATTTCATATTATTAATCTAAAAAAATTTAAAAATTATAATACGTGATTTATCTAAGATTCACCAAAAAATTATATTCGGTTTTAAAACCATATCTATAGAAATTATGTTTTCATAAAAACAATATATGAAATTTTATTTTAATTCAAAACAGAAATAGGTATAAAATATTCAAAATGTTATTTGAATATACTTATAGTCTTATATCAGTTGTAGCAATTTTGCGAAAACAAAATTATAATACGTGATTTATCTAAGATTCACCAAAAAATTATATTCGGTTTTAAAACCATATCTATAGAAATTATGTTTTCATAAAAACAATATATGAAATTTTATTTTAATTCAAAACAGAAATAGGTATAAAATATTCAAAATGTTATTTGAATATACTTATAGTCTTATATCAGTTGTAGCAATTTTGCGAAAACATATATTTGTTTTAATAGAAGAGAAAAATATCCAAGAAATAAAAAAGAATTCAAAAGGTATATGAGAAAAGACCATTTTTATTTTTAAAAATGATTTCCTTAAACCTATTATAACTTTTATTGATTTTAGATAAGATATATAGATTTGCCAAATTGATTTTCTTTACCACTAATGACCACCAAAATATGCATAATGATACGTTTTTTGTTTTCATTGGCCACTTAAATTTTTTAGTTTTTTATTTTACTAAATATAATTAGATGTTAAAATACTATCATTTTAATTATCATAATTAACATATAAATAAAGATAAATTGTTATATTTTTAAAATTATTATAACATATTGATTTTTACTAAACTAAACATCAAGTAGATAAACCTAATCTGAAATTACAATAAATTGAAATAAATTTACTGTTTTTATTATTTTAATGTTCAATCTAAGTTTACAAATATACATAAGTACTCTAATATAAAATATACTGCTTTTTTAATTTTTACATGATTTTCTTATAATATTTTCATTTTAATATTTAAAACAAAAAACAAATAGATTTTTTTATAATAAATAAGTAATTTATCCCTTATTGAATAATAATAATAATAATAACAACATATTTATTCATTGTGTATTATGTATATATCACATAAATTATAATTCAGATTCCTTTAAACCCAACTTTTATATAAAACTAAAAAAGAAACAGATTTTTTTATAATAAATAAGTAATTTATCCCTTATTGAATAATAATAATAATAACATATTTATTCATTGTGTATTATGTATATATCACATAAATTATAATAAAATCTAGTTTAAAATAATCAATTAATGAGAATTTAGAAAATTACCACATGGATGATGAGTTGGAGATGATGTGTCATCACCAGATTCTTTTAAACCCAACTTTTATATATACTAGGTTTTAACCCCGCGCGATACATGCGGACTACAAATAAATATTTTTTTAAAAATATTATTAGATTAAAATTAAATATATTATATTTTATTTTAAATTTATAATTTATATATTAAATTAAAATGATAAATAGTTTTTTTAAAATATAGAGAGCAATATTTTTTTAAAAATAATTATGAATAAAGTCTATCTTTATATTTTTTATATGTTATGATATAAAATTAAGGTTTAGAATCTAACTTGGTTAGTTCAACCGGTTAAAGAAGATGCAAAATATATATTCTGGCCAAAATTCGAGCCTCAAGTTAGAAAGAGAAACACATTAATATTTTTAGAAAGGAAAACTTCAAAAACAACTGAACTATTAAATTTTTTAAAAGGTTAAAAAAGGAGAATAAAGAAGTTTCATATTAGTAAATCAAAATGAGATTTTTTTAAAATGTGAAGTTAAAGAAATGATGTATTTTTTCAAAAGAGATATGATACAATTTTTTGTTTATATAATAAATATATTCACCCGTATATATCACATGAATTAAAAAATAAATATAGATTTTAAATAATTTTATTAGTTTTAAAGTAAATATAATATATTTTGTTTTTAAATTTATAATTTAAATTATTAAATTAAAACATGATTTTTTTTGAAAATATAGGCAATGGGATGATGCATTTTTTTTTTTTGAAAAATAGTTTAGATTTTGTTGGTATATATTTATGATGAATATAATGTAATTAGTTATATATATCATATTTTTTTTTGTAAAGTATTAGGGGCTAATTAAAATCGATTTATAACATAATTTTTCTTTTATATTGATTAGAAATCTACAACACACATCTAAATATTAAGTACTCATGATTGACAAAAAATAATTTTTTTGAATTAATTTCTCTCGATTATGACTTTATCTATTGAAATAGCAAATGATTTAATTTTTAAAAAATAAACATGTATATTTTCCCACGAAACGATTATGTATATAAGATGTGTCGGAAGATTACATATTAATACCTTATGTTAATCAAAGAAACTATATATGGATGCATTTATCTACTCCTTAATCACACAACTCGACTAAAAAATAATATATATACGGGAAAAATCCCTAAAAAACCTCGAACTTGCAAAAATATATACAAATAAACCTTCAATTTGTAAAACTGCATTTAAACCCCAAACTTGCAATATGTAACTGAATAAAACCTCGAACTTGCAAATTGTTGCTCCAATAACCCGTTGACTGGTTTGAGCACAATTTCAGGTGATCGAAAATCCACGTTGGTCTGTAAAGCAGACGTCAGTGTATCCATATAACCAACTTTAAATATTTTTTACTCCAAAATCGGATTTATTTACTCTCAAATCGGATTAAATTTCAATCCGAAAAAATGTTGATATGGTAAAAAAATCATTTAAAGTTTGTTACGTAAACACACTGACATCAATTTTCCAAACCAACTTGGATTTTCGATCTTCTGAAATTGTGGTCAAACCGGTCAACGCGTTATTAGAGTTACAATTTGCAAGTTCGAGGTTTTATTCAGTTATATGTTACAAGTTTGTGGTTTAAATGACAACTTTACAAATTAAAGATTTATTTGTATATATTTTTGCAAATTCGAGGTTTTTTAGGGGTTTTACCATATATATATATATATATATAATTACATGTTTTTCATGTTTAGTCCCCCGAATATTTAGAAATATTCCTCTCCATCCTATTTGGTGAATACATAACTAATCACTAAATAATTTGATAGATTAAAAAAAATATCTCACCCGCTAATCAGTCCGTCTCTGCGAATCTTTACCTGGACAACATGAACAACTTCTTCATTTTTGTTTTAATTTTCAATTTTCTTAACTTTTAGTATTAGTATTAATTTAGTAATCTTCTTTTCAATCTCCTGTATTTTTTCTTTCGATTTTTATCCACGAGACCTTCAAACTTTCATTTAGTTTCTCTTCTTCCTTATTCAATCTCTTTTCATGGTGGGATCTATCGAATTCAATCTAGAATTCTTTCGTTGGGATTCTGATTATTGAATTTAAGACTCTATCGATTAATTAAGGAATTTTGGCAAATGTAAAGGATTATAGATTTTTTATAAGTTACCTAATCTTAGGTATGATTGGTATGGAGCATTCGTTTTCGATTATGCTCCTTTAGAGGTTCTTACAGATACAACACATGTATATACATAGATTAGTTCATGTTAATTGGTTTTCGATATTTGCAATTAAAAAACATAGATGATCTGTAACAACCCAAAAACATGCCTCCATGTTTTACTCACCTGCTCCTTTCACTATCACCCACACATACTCTCTCTCTCCATTCCCTTTACGACGTTCTCCTATATGTTCTCATGTTTGTTTCCCTTCACTCATTCGTTTCCCAGAGACTCCTCCATCACAGCCTTTCTTTAGCTCCTGACTATCACTCAATCTTATGTCTTTTGGTTTGGTAAGTCATCTCTTTCTTTTCTTTTACTTCTAATGATTCACTCTTTCGGTGTCTCTCTCTTTTTATCTAGTTACTCATCACTCCCAACATCGATTTCCCTCTCCAGCGATAATTTTGATCGAATTAAGCGAAGGAACCACCATCTAAACAACCCACAAACCCCCCAAGAAGCAAAGGAGTTCAACTGTGAGTGAATCGAGTTCAATTCGAAAATTCAATTTTCATTAATTCTTGGTGATTTCGACATGTTTGCATTAAATTGATGTTTGATTTATATCATTGAATGAATTTTTGTGAATTTTAGATTTTAATCCGATAAATTTTGATATATTTGAGTGTTATTATAAAATCACTAGATTCATATCGGACCGAACTAATTTTGGTCCGGACCGAATTAAAATATAAAGAATAAAAAATATATATATAATAATAATAACCATAACTAATAATAATAATTTTGAAATAATAATATTATAATAATAATAATAATAATAATAATAATAATAATAATAATAATAATAATAATAATAATAATAATAATAATAATAATAATAATAATAATAATAATAATAATAATAATAATAATAATAATAATAATAATAATAATAATAATAATAATAATAATAATAATAATAAAAAAAAAAAGTAAAAGAAAATCCCAATTTATCGGTCCAAGTAATAATTCAGAACCAAATAAATAGAATTGAAATAAAATGAATGCAGTTTGGATCAAACTAAAGCTCAAGGCAAGTGCAAAAATATGGGATAACTTGAATTGGTAATCCAGAAGGACCGAAACTTAATTTGAACAAATTTAAAGTTAAAAAAAAAGAGTTTGGGACGACCGTCGAAGCCAAAAAAAAATTTGTAATACCCAATTTGACTTCTACAGACCCAGAGGAGTTCTAGGAAGTTTCTTATCCATCACCCAAATCCACTATCCACTACCCGCAACCCGCAAGCATAACCCGAGGTGAGTGAATTCGAGTTTAATTCGGAAGTCTATTGACATGGGATTTGGGTTTGGAGTGTCCCATGATTAAATGACGTATGATTCATGCATTGAGTGAAATAAAAAATTTTGGTGAATTATCCGTAGCAAATCATGTGTGTTTGTGCGAATTTGGTGGAAAAGATAAAATGTAATAATAAACCGAAAATACGGATCAGACTAGACCCCACGTAATCTGAACCCTAAATGAATAACAGATAAGCTTAAAAACCACGGAATGAACCGAACTGGTTATCCGGGCGGACCGGGAGCAGATAGGTCATACCGGAGGTACAATTCGGTAATATAACTGGAAAGACTCAAAGAAAATATATAAAGGAATATAAAAGCTATGCAAGCGGAAATGCATGTATAGTAAATAAACTATATAAATGCGTGTGACGGGGGTAGCTGGCATGACACTAACGTTAATTCGAAAGGGTTTGGATTAACGTTTAGCGCGTGATTGCAGAAACGGACGTTTGTGAATGAATGCACGATGTTTGCGAGATTGCGTCCCATCCATGGGCCATCCGACCCGGGTCGGATGTCACTCATATAGGATATGATTGTGAATGAGGCGATAACTTAATCGCGCCAACGTCTGAACGATAGGACGGTTATGGGCACCCCAATGACTTGCGTAGATAGCCGATTGTAGTCGGTACTATTGCGTGACGAGGAACATACGGTTCTTGGAACCGCGCCAACGTTTCCGCTAGCGACAGAGCAGATCTCGGGATATGAGTATCCCGAGGACGAGGCATTACACATACCTGAGATTCGGGTACATTGGGGTCTCCCGAGGAGGTAGTACAGACTTACTCTGCCAGGTTCAGGCACGAACCTGACAAGTATTTCCGCGGTGGATGGTCGGTGAGGGGGAGTTGCAGCGATGGACTCTCCCGTTATAGTCGATGGCGTCGGTCGTAGCCGACGTCTGGTGAACTCCGGTATTGAGAGGTGACATCAATGCCGGAGCGAGGTGACACGCCTAGTATCGAGAGGTGACATCGATGCTAGGGTGGGGTGATGTGTTCGTGCGGAGAAAAATATATTCATTCCGGATCCGAGTAGTTGTGGAGTAGATGGATTCCGAGGAGAGAGGTGGTTGTGCTATGCACATAGGGAGTACATTACCTACGCATGGTGTGCGTAGAGACGATTTGACGGACTCTGTCCTGCGACTTGTCGTACAGACTTGATTGTGATGGCTGCCTGCTTATCGTGATTCCGTGTTTCAATTCCTGTTTATTAAAATATTAGTATATATATATATATAAAGGTATTTGTTTTCCCTGATTCCATGAGAATAGGACTCCGGGTTACACCCGAGTTCACTCTCTAAGCAATTAGCTTAAGACGTTGTTATGCAACGTTTCAGGTCGTGAGCAGTAGTAGCCGAGGAGCGGACATCGGAGACCTGGACAGCTTACCACTACCGATCATGTATAATTACGTATTTTGATACACTTATATTCTGGGAAACAGTTTGTGTTATATCGGTGGTAGACTGTTTCGGTTTGTAATAATGTTATACTACCACTCGACTATGTATAATTATAACTGAGAATAATGCATCACATATGTATATACGAGTGTTTTCTTCTGCTAGCTCTTAAAAGAAAAGTTTTAAATTCCCACGTATTTCTGGAATTGTGTTTTTATTTTAGTTGTCCATGTGACGCAACTTGTATTGCGGGATACGGGTTTCGGGTGTCACATGATCTCCACTTGACTCGAAAATTCTTTTATATTTTACAAAGTATTTTCATGATAAAAAATATATTACAAACAAATTCTACATTCAAATAAAACTATGCTTATACTAATAAATAATACATAATTATATAATAAACAAAAATAAAAGGGAAAAAATATCGGGTAGAGAAATGTTATTTTTATGGTAAATTCTATTAACTTGAAATTGTATGTCATGAAAAATATTATATTATAATTTTCTTTAAGGCTAGCATTGTACAGAATTATAAAATATCTATATCATGATAAAATGTTTAATTGAAGTTGGTATTAAATGAAACAACATGTTACAACGTTACCATATTAACGCATCAAAAAAATAGACAATTAATATTTTTTTGACATGTTTTTAGCTTTAGAATTATCTTTTCGATGAAAAAAAGATAGTAAAATTTATTTGAAAAACACTTTTGTTGAAATTACTACAATGAACTATATGTTAAAATGCCAAAAATATAAAATACTATTTATAATAAATGGATATATTAAAGAGACTACAAATAGGATAAGAAACGAAAAAGAAAAAAATCACTTGAAAAAGAGATAATTACGGTATTAAATTTCTTTTTTAAACCCATTATAATCCAAATGTCTATCACATATAAAATGACTTTATAAATTTATATTTATTACATGATGTCCGTAGACCTATAAATACAATTGCAGTCATATAGATGTATCTATATAGATACATATATTCATATTTATTTGTAAGGTTATTAAACAAAAAGAGCTTTTTTTTGTTATAGCACTTGGTTACATGTTTCTTGATCTCGGTGGTAGACTGTTTCGGTTTGTAATAATGTTATACTACCACTCGACTATGCATAATTATAACTGAGAATAATGCATCACATATGTATATACGAGTGTTTTCTTCTGCTAGCTCTGAAAAGAAAAGTTTTAAATTCCCGCGGATTTCTGGAATTGTGTTTTTATTTTAGTTGTCCATGTGACGCAACTCGTATTGCGGGATACGGGTTTCGGGTGTCACAGCGTTGGTATCAGAGCAGTTCTTTCCACGGAGTAAGAATGTGCTCATATTTTCACTGAAATTTGGGGATGGGTAAAAATGATTTTTAAAGATTTTATAAAAATCTAAGCATGATCACCAGGTCCCGATACTAAATAACGTTCTTGTCCGTAGTAGTTATGCCTCCACGACGTGTTGCACCTGCGCAACGACCTGAAGGACCGAGGGCACCTCCGCCGAATAATGACATGGCGGAAATGCAACGTCAGTTCGCATTGTTCCAGGGGAATATCTGGCAGTTCGTACGAGCCTGTATGCCACCACCCCTGCCACCACATGCTGCTCCACCTGCGGCAAGACCGGAGGGAGGCTTGCCACCACCACCACCACCACCACCGGTGCCTGCACCTCAGAGGATTCCAGAGCAAGTCGTAGTGGACTACTTGCCATTTGTCAAGGAACTCCGAGCCTTGGGAACTCCGGAGTTTGAAGGTTCTCTTAGCCCAGAGGCAGCAGAAGACTGGATGATCAAGATCACCCACCTCTTCAACTACATTCGGTGCCCGCTGGAGTACCGTACTGAATTAGCGAGCCATCATCTGGCTGGCGCGGCTCACCACTGGTGGGAGGAAGTTGTACGTGAGGCTCCCGCAGGACACCAATTCTCGTGGGAAGAGTTCCGGGCAGAGTTCGAGCAGAAGTACTATCGGAGGCAAGATCAGGGTCACCGTATTACGGAATTCCTTCGCCTTGAACAGGGTAATATGACCGTTCGAGAGTACGAAGCGGAATTCAACCAACTGTTGAAGTATGGAGGCCACCTAGTGCCAACTGAGGAGTACAAGATCCAGAAATTCATTGCCGGGTTACGTGCTTCTCTCAGGAGGAGAATTGAGTGCCATGAGTATCCTACATTGAGACGGTACATCAACCAACTCGACAAGGTGGAACGCAGTGAGAAGGAGAAGATGGAAGCTAAGATTCCAGACCGTAGTCCATACAGGAGGGTGCTAGTCAACCGTCCCCCGGTGAGAGTTGGGCAGACGAGTCAACCCCGCGACAAGGGGAAGGCTCCGGCGTTTCGCCCCACGACCCCGACCCAACCACTACAATATAGGAGGCCCTGTGCTAAGTGTGGTCGAGACCATACTGGACCCTGTGGAAACACCATGACGTGCTACCGTTGCGGTCAACCGGGGCATTTTGCTGCTAGATGCACTGCGAACATAGCTCCTCAAACCAACAACAAGCCACCGCGTCCAGCACAGAGGAGATCGGGAGTTGCTCCGAGAGTTTATGCTCTCACAGCGGAGGAGGATGTCCAGGAGGAGCCATACACTGTGGAGGAGCCATTTGCCGCAGAGCCATTTACCACCTACGAGGCCACTGATGAAGATTACCTGGAGGAGGATGATGTTGCCGCCATCACAGGTACCATTTGCATACATGATGTTGCATGCATTACTTTGTTTGACACATGAGCTACACATAGCTTCTTGAGTGAGAAAAAGGCAGGAGAACTGTCAATCATGGAGATCGATACGACTACACATTTTATGGTGTGTACGCCTGCGGGACAGATTCTTCCAGTACATGGGATTTTTCATTGCATGCCCTTGACTATCTGTGGGAGGATGTTGACCGCAGATCTTATCGTCGTACCTATCCAGTGTTATGACTTAATACTGGGAATGGATTGGTTGTCGAAGCATCAAGCCCAGATTGACTGTCGCCAGCGAACTATTTGGTTCACTGAGGAGAGGGGAGGATTCGAGTTCGTTGGGAACAGATCACGGAAAGTGTATCCCATTATATCAGCTCTGAAGGCTAACAAGATGATCGAGAAAGGAAATGAAGTCTTCCTGGTTGTAATCACAGCAATCGAAGAAGCAGAAGCAAAGCTGGAAGACAGTACGGTAGTTCGAGAATTTCCCTGATGTGTTTCCTGATGAACTACCCGGACTACCACTAGAACGGGAGGTAGATTTCTCCATTGAGGTTGTGCCAGGAACGGAGCCAATATCTAAGACTCCCTATCGGATGCTCCGACCGAGATGGCAGAACTGAAGAAGCAATTGAACGAACTAATGGAGAGAGGATTCATCCGACCAAGCGTATCACTGTGGGGAGCACAGGTGTTATTTGTGAAGAAGAAAGATGGTAGTATGTGACTCTGCATTGACTACTGAGGCCTGAACCAAGTGACCATCAAGAATCGGTACCCCTTGCCGAGAATTGATGAATTGCTTGACCAGTTGCAAGGAGCGAAGTGGTTTTCAAAGATCGATTTACGTTCTGGATATTACCAGATCCGAGTAAAGGCTGGGGATATTCAGAAGACTGCCTTTCCAACGCGATACGGTCATTTTGAGTTTGTAGTCCTGCCATTTGGGTTGACGAATGCTCCAGCGGTTTTCATGCAGCTAATGCACCGTGTGTTCATGGATTACCGCTAGATGCACTGCGAACATAGCTCCTCAAACCAACAACAAGCCACCGCGTCCAGCACAGAGGAGATCGGGAGTTGCTCCGAGAGTTTATGCTCTCACAGCGGAGGAGGATGTCCAGGAGGAGCCATACACTGTGGAGGAGCCATTTGCCGCAGAGCCATTTACCACCTACGAGGCCACTGATGAAGATTACCTGGAGGAGGATGATGTTGCCGCCATCACAGGTACCATTTGCATACATGATGTTGCATGCATTACTTTGTTTGACACATGAGCTACACATAGCTTCTTGAGTGAGAAAAAGGCAGGAGAACTGTCAATCATGGAGATCGATACGACTACACATTTTATGGTGTGTACGCCTGCGGGACAGATTCTTCCAGTACATGGGATTTTTCATTGCATGCCCTTGACTATCTGTGGGAGGATGTTGACCGCAGATCTTATCGTCGTACCTATCCAGTGTTATGACTTAATACTGGGAATGGATTGGTTGTCGAAGCATCAAGCCCAGATTGACTGTCGCCAGCGAACTATTTGGTTCACTGAGGAGAGGGGAGGATTCGAGTTCGTTGGGAACAGATCACGGAAAGTGTATCCCATTATATCAGCTCTGAAGGCTAACAAGATGATCGAGAAAGGAAATGAAGTCTTCCTGGTTGTAATCACAGCAATCGAAGAAGCAGAAGCAAAGCTGGAAGACAGTACGGTAGTTCGAGAATTTCCCTGATGTGTTTCCTGATGAACTACCCGGACTACCACTAGAACGGGAGGTAGATTTCTCCATTGAGGTTGTGCCAGGAACGGAGCCAATATCTAAGACTCCCTATCGGATGCTCCGACCGAGATGGCAGAACTGAAGAAGCAATTGAACGAACTAATGGAGAGAGGATTCATCCGACCAAGCGTATCACTGTGGGGAGCACAGGTGTTATTTGTGAAGAAGAAAGATGGTAGTATGTGACTCTGCATTGACTACTGAGGCCTGAACCAAGTGACCATCAAGAATCGGTACCCCTTGCCGAGAATTGATGAATTGCTTGACCAGTTGCAAGGAGCGAAGTGGTTTTCAAAGATCGATTTACGTTCTGGATATTACCAGATCCGAGTAAAGGCTGGGGATATTCAGAAGACTGCCTTTCCAACGCGATACGGTCATTTTGAGTTTGTAGTCCTGCCATTTGGGTTGACGAATGCTCCAGCGGTTTTCATGCAGCTAATGCACCGTGTGTTCATGGATTACCTCGATGAGTTCGTCATAATCTTTATTGACGATCTCTTGATATATTCACCGGACCAACAGACACATGAAGAACACTT